GCTTATGCACAGGGAGACAGCTCAGGGGGCAGGAGTGTATGGAGGGAGGGATGGACACTGGGAAGAGGTAACTATGGGGAGGAAGTGGGAGGGGAGCTATTCCATTGTGGTAAACTGTGGTCAATGTCATGAGGCAAAGTGTATGTGAACTGCTGTATGGAAAGTGAATTTGCTCTGTAAACTTTCACCCAAATCTCTATCTCTATCTATCTATATAAAACAACAGCAACAAAAATTTGACCTAAGCAGGAGCTACAGAGGTACTGCCTGTGCTCTACCAGAAGTTGGGATTATATCATTTCTCTGTTCAATATCCTTCAGCCACTTCCCACTGTGTTTTGAAAAGAAACAAGCAATCAATAAACGCTTTCCAAGGTTTCCAAAAAAAAAAAAATGCTGGCGAGGATGTGGAGAGATTGGGACTCTGATACACTGCTGGTGGGACTGTAAAATGGTACAACCATTATGGAAAGCAGTGTGGTGATTCCTTCAAAAGTTGGAATTAGAAATACCATTTGACCATCTATTCCATTACTAGGTATGTATCCTAAAGAAATGAGGGCTGTGACAAGAACAGACATATGTACACCATGTACCTTGCAGCACTACTTACAATAGACAAAAGATGGAAACAACCTAGGTGTCCATCAACTGAGGAATGGCTAACCAAACTATGGTACATACACATAATGGAATATTATGCAACCATAAAAACTAACCAAGAATCTGCAAAACACCGCATAATGTGGATGAACTTGAAGGACATTATGCTGAGTGAAATAAGTCAATCACAGAAGGACAAATATTGTATTAGTCCATTATTGTAAAAGTCAAGGAAAGGTTTATCTATGGAAGGAAAATTCTTTTGTTGGTTACTAGGGAGGGGAGTGGAGGGGAGAGAACACTCTTAGATAGGTAGAGATAAGTATTGATTTGGGTGAAGAGAGGGGCAGTGTACCAAATGTGAGTGTTCATTGTGGTGGTATTGAAGTGGAAGACAGAGAGAGGTATATATGGGATGTGCAGACAACAAAGATGAACCCTTTCGCACATACAGTACTGTGTTGTCAGTGAAAGCAGAGATGTGTATACAGTGGGATAGATGGGTGGACAGACTGAACTATTAGGTATGTCTATGCAGCGGGGAGTGACCCAAGTCCATGCATAGGATTGGCAGACAATGGTTCTTTAAGTGTTACATGTACTATAAGAATTCCCAGGTGTATAGTAGCGCTGACAAGGGACAAGGTTGTAGTCACTTCTTGGCCACAGCCAGCTACCCAGAGGGAGTCAGTAGTTGAACCTGTGGGCTCAGGACCATAGTCACAGGGGACATCAAGCTCAATTGGCATAACATACTACACAAAACATTGTTCCACTTCTTTCTTTAGCGAGTAACGACTGGGATCTTAAAAGCTTGCAGGCATCCATCTAGATGCATTGATGGGTTCTCCTCATCCAGAGCAAAGTGGAATGAAGAAAACCAAAGATTCATGGAAACAAGTCCTAGCGACTGGTACACCATGCGATGCGTAGCCTATACGACTGTGAGACCAGAAGAACTAGATGGTGCCTGGCTACCACTGTCAACCACCCAGAGGGGGATCTGTGTAGGAGATCTGGATAGAGAGGGAGAACAATGTGGAACAAAATGCAAAATCATTTGGGGAAAAAACACAAGGGGGCAGGGAGCAGGTTTGCTGGTCTGATAGAGCCTGGTGGAACCACTGAGACTGTGGCCCCTAACTGCCCTTCAGGTCTGGAATTGAACCCACACCTGTGGCTTCCAGCCAAACAAAAGACAGACATATGAGTTGAACATTTACCTGAGGTAGATACACTCCTTGGAGTGTACAGTCATGGGAGAAAGAAGGACTGCTTATGCACAGGGAGACAGCTAAGGGGGCAGAGTGCATGGAGGGATGCACACAGGGAAGAGGAAACTATTGGGAGGAAGTGGGAGGGGACCTGTTGCATTGTGGTAAATTGTAGTCGATGTCATGAGACAAAGTGTATGTGAACTGTTGTATGGAAAGTGAATTTGCTCTGTAAACTTTTACCCAAATCGCAATTTAAAAAAAAAGAAAAAAAAAAACTCAGTGCTGGCCAGAACATGGGGAACATTTCTTTGCTGGGTAAGAGTATACACTGATTGCTTTCTTTGGGAAAGCCCTTTGGTAAATTGTGTGTGCATGGACTTCACTGTGACTCTTGGTAACTAGGGCCATTGCTTGGTCTTTGGGCTTAGCTTCTCAGGAGTAAAATGAGAGGAGTTGCCTTTGGTGATTTGCTGAGATGGTTTTCGACTGTAAATGTCATATGATTATTGTTATTTATGCTGTTGTTAGCTGCTGTTGAATTAACTTCAACTCAGGGTGAACCCATGTGCAACAGAATGAAACATTGCCCAGTCTTGCTCCATCTTTATGATCGTTAGTATGCTCAAGTCCATTGTTGTGGCCACTGTATTTTGAGTGCCTTCTAATCAAGAATGTTCATCTTCAGCACTGCATCCATCTTCTTTTGGGATCTGATGGGGCAATCTACTTCCGTAGTGATACTGCCTCTGAAACCCAAGGAGGGGTCGCTGTGAGTCGGGTCTGACTTGACGGCACATAACAACAACAGGGTTTTTATTGGGTAATTGGTGGAATGAGATCACTGGGCCTTTCTTCAGTTTGTTTTAATTTAGAAATTCCGTTGAAACCTGTGCACTGTGGATGACCCTGCTGCTATTTGAAATAACGGGTGTCATAGCAACACACAGGCCACCACTGTATGATGAAGTGACAGATGAATGGTGGTTTATTTCTATAGTAACTGCATAATAGAGATGATTGGTTAACTTTTTAGTAGTTTCACATTTAAGGAGTCATGTGTGTTACTTGACTTAGTCCTCCCAACAGCCCTGGGTAGTGAGTGATGTGGTACAGTAAATTGCTTGGTATGGCCCTTCTAACCATGGTCTTTGTGACTCCCACCAGATGACTGGGTGGGACTATGCAAATGTTAGGTGTTTGTGGCCCACCAAGAGGATTAGATAGCTTGCTAATGGTGTAAATAGGTGCCTAGTACCCTGTGGGGGTGAGGCCATGCATATAAGGTGTATGGAACTCTAGTGTGGGAGTTGGTCAGTTTTGCTTTTTCCTTGGGCTTAAAATGAGCCATCCCAGAGTCAGAAAGGGGGGATCTCACTACCATGAAGAAAGAAGCGACAGGAGGGGAGCATATTCTTGGACTCGAGGCGAGAGAGAGTGAGAAACAGCAGCAACAGACTACACAATGGGCTTCCCAGCCCATAGAATGAAAATGCTGAGTGCCTTCAGACAGGAGCCTTGCTGGCAGAGTGAGATGCCTCTGGCAGAGGCAGAGCTAAAAGAACTTTGTAACACTTGCCTGAGCAGGGCAGAGGCCAGGTAGATGGGCCCAAGGGCCACAGAGACTTGCCTTTGGGCACAGCTGAAGGAAAGCCTGTCCTGATTGAAGAACCGTATCCTGAGCGTTCCTGATCCTGAATTGTAAACTGTTACTTCCCTAATAAACCTCATAATCATGAGTATTTTTTGTGAATTCTGTGTGGCCATTGCAACACATTGTTGAACAACCCAACAGTTGTTAAAGTGGTGTTGTGGGAGGGGGAGATGGTTGGTGTCAGAATTAGTAAACCAGTTGGAGGATAGCACATGTCTTCTACTTCATAGGAATCATCCTTGGGCTGTTGATGTTGATCTTGATCCTCCTTCCCCCCGCCTTGTGAAGTTAGAGTAGGTCAGATGCCACCTCCACGATATTTTTTACAGTGAAGAAATAGGTACAGAGTTGACTTGTCCAAGGTCATGTGTCTTATAAGTGGCTGATACAGAACTTAAATCTCCTTAAGGTTTTTATTTTGTCTCTTACGTTTTAAAAGCACTTTGCTTTCTGTTTTCATTGCCTGTGATGATGCTCCTAGGAATATTTGATATATGTCCCTTACTGGTGGCCAAAGCATAGCAGTATAGTGTCTCATGGTCTTGAGCTGATGAAAAAATGTGTATACTAGTTTCTTTTTTTTGTTTTTTGAATTGATTTTGTTGTTGAGAATATAAACAGCGGAACATATGCCAATTCATCAGTTTCTACATATATAATTTAGTGACATTGATTACATTCTTCAAATTGTGCAAACTTTCTCACCTTCCTTTTCTGAGTTGTTCCTCCATGCTACTGTTTTCTTGATAATCCTTAGTTTCACATTCTGCTTCTTGTTCTAGGGTGCTGTGCTCGGTTTTCTGCTCGCAGTAGTCTGTACATTCACTCTAAGAAGCACCTCCAGGATGTGGACACATCGAAAAGCCGCTGCCCAGTCTCCAGCTGTAATCGACAGTTCACGTCCAAACATAGCATGAAGACTCATGTGGTCAAACAGCACAACCTGCACCAAGGTCTTGTTACCTTATATGTCTCTGAGAGAGTGACAGAGATGTATGTACTTGACATGTATAAGGGTTTCTACCAAAAGAAGAATAGTAAAGAATGTCGCTCTTCAGAAATTATCCAGTTCTTAGTTCTGATTATTCTAGTATAGCGACATCTTACCAGCCCTGTACTAATGGGTACTAAGCCTAGTGGTCTCTCTTGAGAATCTCCTGTCATTTCCCTGCCTCTGACCTCTGATTCTTCTCTTGTCTGTAAAGTGCTTTCCTTGAAGAATTTCTAATCTTTCACTTTGTTGATTTTCTTAGCATTTGTCTCCTAAATCTGTGTCTTCCCACTGTGACCTTTCTCTTGGATTCATCCTGTTACTCCAGTATTTCTATTCACTTTGACTCTTCTCTTTCAAAGTCATGTTGTTCTTTCTAAGCAGTGGCACTCCAATCTGTCTTCTCTTCTCTTTCTGCACTGTGAAGTTGATTTCAGATTGTTGAGGAGATTTATTTCCTTTGGGAGGTAGTAAGCTATTAAAGATCAGAATAGAATTGTGTTTAAGGATATGCTCTGGTGAGGGGGTGTGCAGACCTGGAGAAAGGACAAGAGAGGAAACAATACAATGGCCCAGATGCATGTAGAGGAGAGAATTTTAGAGCATAGTTCTTTCAAACACTGTACAACATTATGGCATGGGACTCAGAAACCTGCCTCTGGGACCTTGTCCACAGACACTTTGGCAGAACATTATATGAATGTGGGTAGCAGCAATGGCTACCTCTCCCCTGTCCTTTCCTGGCTGAGGAAGACCTGTATGTTAAATGAACAGATGCTTCTTATTGCTGCCTATTTGACAGGCAGTGTCATGGTGTAGACAGAATTACCTGCCTGAGGCTGTGGCTCTTTTCCACAGATGTGTGACATCTCTTAGATTCCCATTTTCCTCATCTTTATCATTGGAAGATAATTTGAATAGTTCTCAGAATGAAAAGCCTTGTTAAATTGCTTAGTGTGGAATTTTTAATTTCTCAAAAGAATGATAACCATTTTCTTTCAAAATGTTTTATTGGTACTCATTGGCTGCCAGTGAGGCAACCCCATGTATGACAGAGTAGATGGGGTTTTCTTGTTTATAATCTATACAGAAGCAGATCACCAGGTCTTTCTTCCATTGCACAGCTGGGTGAATTCCAACCACCAACCTTTAGGTTAATAGCCAGTCACAAACCATTAGTGTCATTAGAGCTCCCTTCATTGATACTGAGAGATTTATTGAAAAAGTGCTAATATATTGATCCTTTTTTAAAAAACTGAAGTACTATGGTAGCTCAAAACTTAAAACCCAAACTCACTGCCACTGAGTTGATTCTGACTCAGTGACCCCCATTATATTTCCAAGGCAGTAAATCTTTACAGAAGTAGATCGGCCCATCTTCCTTCTGCAGAGTGGCTGGTGGATTTGAACCACCAACCTTCTGGTTAGCAGTCACATGCCTTAGGCACTGTACCACCAGATACATGTTTTACCTTTTGGGTTTAGAGTAGATTTCTTTTATAGGTTGCACTATAAATGTAATAGGCATTCTGGGCATTCACAGCTTTAGGGTAAGAGTGTGGGCTTAGCTAACATTTGGTGTATGGGGTAGAACCACAGAACCAAGAGAACCTTTTCCTCTGGGCCCTGCATTATTTCCTCTGGGTCAGGTACTAGTACACTCAGGAAGCCGTAGCTAGAGATTTCTTGGGAAAGAATAATATAGAGGCTTTGTTTATTCAGACTTGCTCTTTTGCTCAAATTTATTATGCTCCCATTTTCCTGTTTGCTTGATGCTTAAAAAGAGGTCTCAGATTTGGTATGATTGCTGTGTACTTGTATATATGATCCATTCTGAGTATTCATTGTAATTTTTTTTGAAGTATGTTAATATTGATTATTCTCCTTAGGGATTCTGATTATTTAAGTTACTTAACTGAACAAAAAATAATCCTCATGTCCTGAAGAATGTTCTGGCTATAAGTTAAGATTCCAAATGAAAAGGGATATATTAGAATTACTTCTACTATAATCATTAAATGCTGCTTATGAACCAGGTACTGTGCTAGGTGCTGAAGGTACAGAAATGAGTCTGGCAGGCCTCTGCTCTCAAGGTAATTATTGCCTGAGAGGGTAGAAGGGAAGAAGAAGGTACTCAAGGTTGGAAAATAGTGGTGGAGTAAGGGTGTCACAAAGGGTAGAGTTGTCGGTCTCTGGGCTGAGGAACCCATCAAGAAAAAACTTGATTGAGTTGGACATATTTCTAGAGCATTAGGGGTGAGCCTCATGTCTGAGTTCTGTTTATTTAGCTAGAGCTTTGCATTTGCTGACTCTGGAGTCAGACCAGTCAGGACAGTTGTGTTCTTACTGGTCACCTCCAGATGATGGAAGTCAATTTTGAGGTGGAAGTGAGGTTACAGAGTTTGATGAGATGTAGCTGACATAAGCTGAGCCCCAAAGTGTACACTCAGCCAGAGAGATCAGCTTAACACTGACTTCTGAAGGTTTGTGTTCCATGGAGACTTTTATATTCTCAGGTAGGTGGTGCTGTGGTGTAGAAGAAAAGTACAAGCTTTGAAGGTTGAAAGGTAGGGATTCAAATGCCATTTAATGTTATCAGCCATTTAATGTTCAGTTAATGTAAGTTTTGGAAAAGTTATTTACTCTTGTGTCATTTCATCTGTCTGGAAGAATTCTTTTAGCTTAAGGATTTGAGACAGTGTATGTGAAAATAAAAAACACCCCAATGAGCATTCTGTTTCTATAGTTGGTTTTGTCAGTCCCCTTGATGTCCCAAACAGGAAGTCCTAGTCAGTCAAAATTAGGCAACAGCGTACTTGCATATGACAGTAAATGTTGCTTTGATGGGTCACTTGCTAACATTTTGAACATAAAATTTCCTTAATCTTCTGAGGTCATAAAGTAACTGGAAACTATATTGCTTTTTCAGATCTCTTATCTCAGCTAGAAGCTGCAAGTTCTCTTACGCCCAGCAGTGAACTTACCAGCTCAGGACAAAGTGAGCTCAATAATATAGACTTAGTGTCTCTCTTCTCTAATGCATCTGGTGATAGTAATAGTTCAGCAGTTGCATCAGACATGGCATTGGTGAACTCTGGAATTTTGACTATTGATGTTACTTCTGTGAACTCATCTCTGGGAGGGAACCTTCCTGTTAACAACAATTCCTTGGTGCAGATGGACCCACTCGTCCTGGTGGCCAACAGTGACATTCCTCCCAGTCTGGATAGCCCTCTTATGCTTGGGTCAACGGCCACGGTTCTTCAGCAGAGCAACTTAAATCCAGATGATGTGCAAACTGTAAGTGCAGAAGCACTAGGTTGTCTGGTGTCTCTGCCTGTGAAGAATTTGAGTCAAGATCCGCAGGATTTGACCTCCACACCAACTCCTTCAAACAATCCCAGTGGAAACAACCATGTCCCAGAACTGCTGGCTCCAATCAAAGTGGAACAGAACTTGCCTCCTGGCCCAGATGTTGGGCCACAGGAAAGAGGCAAAATGGTGACCCAGTTTATGCTCTCCAACCCAGCAGAAAACTGCAGTGCTCAGAAAGATACCGACCTCAGTGCAGTGCCTGGCAACTTGTATTTGGTATGAAGTGCTATATTCAGTCACCACCAAATAGTTCACTCCTGTTACACTCAATTTTGAGGATATTCTGGATTAATCATTTTTATGCAGATGTTTCTTACTGGTTTGCAAAAAAGAGGACAGAACCCTGGCCTACAAGTTTGGAAATCTGAATTCTGATCTTAAGTCTGGAACTGACTAGTTTTCATGACCTTGAGCAAATCACTTAACAAATCTGAGCCTTAAATTCTCGCTTATTTCTGAAATGAGAGTGTTTGGCTAGATGATTTCTAAGGTCCTGTTGAATTCTGTGATTCCATGATAATGTGTTCTTTTCCTTAAAAAATAATTGGAATATTTCATAATGTTGAAATGTTTTTGCCTTTGTGCTTCTTACATAATAAAATGACCTTAAGAGTTGCTAATGACCAGAGGAAAAGGAATCACGTTACAAACTGTCTTTAAAGGTTAATGGAAACTTTAAAAACATTTCAGATATTTTTCACAAGCTTAGAATTAACAAGGAAAAAAAAAGGGAGTGGCTTGTGAACCTCCTCCATTCTGGAGAATTGTGAAAGTACTTCTCCAGTTTTGAGGCTGAACATTTTATATACTTTAATTATATTTATATCAATTATACATTTAATATAATTTAAAATAATTTAAAGACTCGAACAAAAAAAGAGTCTTTTTCTTCGGTTTCAAATGTGAATGATCAGATAGTTGTTTTTCTTTATGGCACAGGGTAGATTTGATGGTGATATTTATATTGTGTAAAAATTTTAGATCTTCTGAAACAGAATTAATTGTGAGGGAACATAGTAACTAATCTAACATAGAGCCAGCTTTCTTTATTTCTAGTTTGAAAGAAGTACTGTCTCTCCTTTCCTTATGTCTTATTTTGTCACTGTCATAGCTATACTTCCTCGTATTTGCTTAGGTTGTTACGGTTGCTAAGTGGACAGATAAATGGGCAGGGAGTGGGAGATGGACTACAGTTGAGAGGTAAGGGATGTAATCAGTCCTTGTGTGTTGGGGCTTGGTGTCTTGGTAGTTCTCTCACACCCCACTCCATCTCTAGGGCCAGAGCTGCGGGTGGAGGCAGGAGGAGCTAGCAAGACCTTGATCCTAACCCCTTGTTCATTTTCTTGCTAGCTGTGTGACCTTGGGCAGCCTCGCTTCTCTGAGTACAAATGGTGTGTGGTGAATGGGTTTCAGGTATGCCACAAGCTATTGAGGGTTGTTCTTTTTCCTTCCTTTTTTTTATAGTGATAAGCATTAAACCATTTTTCTTATAAAATACTCATACAACAATTGATGTCCTCTTTGAATATTGTTGTCTGGCTCCATCAGTAAACTTCCTCAATTCAGTGACTTTAATTATTGTTTTGGTGGATGAGAGTTTGAGTATAGCACCTGCTGCCAGGGAGGCCTTTGCAGGGGGTATATAAAATAGGACCTTCCCCTGGCTGGTGTACAATACTGTTTTGTGGCATATTTTGAGAAATGTTGGGAAGTGCTATAGTAAATTAACCCCGAGTCACCAAGGAAAAGCTGGTTATTCATTTTAGAAAGCAGAGAAGTGTGTCACTCATTTTATAACTTTCTATGAAAATGTTTACTATGTTTAGATTGGAAGAATAAACTTTGCTTCTCTGAATAATAAAATTATGTACATTGTTCCAACTCTGAGTTTGTTTAGCTATCACTAATTGATTGTGGCATTTGATTCTTTTTATGCCTTTGCTGGAGGTCCTGGCATGATTTTTGGAGCTTTAATATGTTCACATTCAAAAAGCAGACTTACAGATTTCAGTAGTTCACTTGCTACCCTTCCTTTGCTGTTTAGATCCAATGACTGACACACTTTTCTTTGGTCTCAGGAAAGTGGGGGCTCAGCAAGAACTGATTACCGAGCCATTCAACTAGCCAAGAAAAAAAAGCAGAAAGGAACTGGGAACAATGCAGGTGAGGATGTATGTACTTCAATGATGAGTTTTTGAGGTCTGTTTTCTTCTGATGAAAATAAATGAGTTATTTGTCAATTAAGCACTGAGGAAACACATAGAATAGTCATTTCAGTGTTCTATTACTTAAATGTTCCAAATGCCCTTTTATCAACTCTTTAGTTTTATCAATTAAAAAAATTAGTAACAAAATTCCCAGCATCAGTATGGACATGTTTTATTTAGTTAAAATGGCTGCATGAAAGTTCGGTTGCATATTCTGTTATCTGGAAGTTTTCTAAGGTAAATGAGCAAAAGCAGGCTTGGTGTCAGGAAAGCAGAGGTGGAAACCTGATAACAAATGGCCTTTGGAAGTGAGAAGACCCTGGAGTGGGGCTGACACTGTTCCCAGGGGCAGTTATTCTGTGGTGCCAGCCACTGGGTGCCACCTGGTATTGTGTGCCCCCGTCCTGAGTGGTATTAAAATCACTGTAAAGTGTCAGCAATTTGTTTGAATTTTCAAAAGACACGGTGGACAAACAATACTTGTGTAATCCGATATGTAAGTCCGTTTGAAAAATGTAATAGTGGGACAGTGTTTAAAGGAACCTGGAAAATCCTTTTGTAAATGTAACAGTAAATTCTTAATGCCTGCTTCCCCCATATATTTTTTGTGTATTTCATTTATCTTTTTAACTTATTTTTAAATTTTAAAATGTCAGGGTGTTTGTAGGGTGAAAGAAACCCATTGCCATTGAATTGATTCTGACTCGTGGTGACCAAGTGTTGCAAAATAGAACTGAGCTCCATAGGGCTTTCTTGGCAGTAATCTTTATGGAAGCAGGTTGCCAGGCCTTTCTTCCGTGGACCCACGGGTAGGTTGCAACTGCCAATCTTCTGGTTAATAATCCAGCACAGAACAGCATCACTTGTAGGATCAGCAGTTCAGTTTTATATCTTACTTTCAGCTCTTAGTTATATCATAGCTGCTTCTTTAAAATAAATTACTATTTTCTGTTAATCAGTATTCTCAAAGCAAATATTTCCCTGCAATGAATGTTGTACATGTCAGTGTTTATTGTGATTTAGAAAGGGTTACTTCCACAGTTCACAGAGTATCAAAATGGAATTTTCAGAGGTAATAGAAGAAAGTTGTGGTGATGGTGGTGAAAAATCTGTAGAATGGAAGAATTCACACATAGGAAACAAAATGAACAGAAGAGACCAAAAGCTTTTTATATAGCTATTTAGATAAGCTTGAACTTGAAGGAAAAGGAATATTACAAGCATTAAGTGAAAAAAACATGTTGAATTCTTGGCATTGCATCACAGTGACACCTATGGACATATTTTCTTTTTTAAAAAAAAATCATTGTTTTTATAAATATTTCAGCATTATCTCTAAAAAGATTAAGGATACTTTAAAAAATATATAGCCCCATTCTATTATCATGTCTTTCAAAATTAGCAGTATTTCCTTAATACCAGTATCTAGCAGGTATTCAGACTTTCAATTGTCCCAATTTTATTTATTTATAAAAATATGTATTTTGTATAACCATCTTTCGAATCAGAATCCAAATAAAGTTCATGCAGTATTATTGATTGATAGGTTTCTTAAGTTTCTCGAATCTGTAAGTTTCTCTCTCCATCTTTGTTCTTTTTCTTTAAATGAAGTTGTTAAAGAAGAAACTGGGTGATTTGTTTTCTGTCAAGTTTGCCAATCTGTATTTTGCTAATTGCATCACATATCCCTTTATCTTTTGCTTCCTATTAATTAGTAATTACATCTGGGGGCTTAGTCTGATTGAAATTTGATTCTCTTTTGTGGCGGTAGTAAACTGTTTCCTAGGTAGCATTATGTCTTACGAACCACCTGAGGTCTGATGGTCTTTTTGTGTTGAGCAACCGTTGAATATCCGTGAGTATAGATCTAAAGATGGTAGTCTAATTCTGTCACTCCTTTCTCATTTATTAGCTAGAATGCTTCTATAAAGAGAAACTTCTCATACTCTGAGATGCAGTTCATACAGGAAAATCAGGATAAACGTTTTAATCTTTATCTGTTTTCAAATAATGAGTTGGTTTCTTGGAATCCTCCAGTGGTGATCAAAGATTTTTATGCATTCACTGATTTAGACATTAGAGTTTAAAGGGAAATGTAAATCTTGTACCAGCCAAATATCTGGCATTCATAATGTGAAGACAAAAATTTCTTTGTAAGTGTGCAGACTTAAGTTTGGCCACCTATATATATATATCCTTTTTGAAAAATCCTTTCAAAGTACTGGAACCATCTGAATGATAGAGGAAATATAAATATAGGTCCACAGTCTCTCTTCTAAAACCTTTGGGGACAATTGTGTGTCTGCCACTGCTGCTGCCTGCTCCCACTCCCCACCCCCAACATTTTATTTGGAGATGATTTTAGACTCACAGAAGAATTGCTTCCCTGGCTGGTGAAACTCCATGCATATTGTCATACATGGTTTTTGGGAGAAGTTAGCCCTGTTACAACTCCACTGGGAGAGGACAGCTGAAAGCTTCATGTTAGGGGCTATCCTGACTGCCTCATGTGCCTCTTCCTTCTGATGATTTTAATTTGTATCCTCCCATAGTGACACCTTTCATCATACTTTTCCTAATGTTAACATCTTAGGTAATTGGTATATTTACCAAAATTAAGAAGTGAATACTGTTAATTTCACTATTAGCTGAACTACAGACATTATTTGGATTGGACCTTTTTTTTTTTTCCACCAGTGTTCTTTTTCTGTTCCAGAATCTGGTCCAGGATCCCATGTTGCCTTCAACTGTAAAGTCTCCTTACTTTCCTTTGTATCAGCTCCTCAGTCTTTCCATGTCTTTTATGACACTTTTGAAAAGTACTAGTCAGTTACTTTGTAGTATATCCCTCAGTTTGGGTTTGTCTGACGTTTTCTCATGATTACACTGGGGTAATGGGTTTTTTGGAACCAGAGGTGATATGCCCTTCTCATTGCATCATATCAGGGTACATAATATCGACATGATTAACTTTGGGGAGCTCTGGTGACATAGTGCCTAAGGCATTTGACTATTAGCCAGAAAGCTGGCAGTTCAAACCCACCAGCCACTCCTCGGAAGGAAGGTTGGGCAATCTACTTCTGTAGTGATACCGTCTCGGAAACCCAAGGTGGGGTTGCTATGAGTCAGATCCAGGTGGACAGCAGTGGGTTTTAATGTTAACTTTGATTACTGGGTTAAGGTGTTGTCTGCCAGGATTTTCCACTATGAAGTTACTATTTTTTCCGTTTATAATTTATATTTATTTTGAGGGAGGGACTTTGAGGCTATGTGCAAAGTTTGGAAGTCCCCAAGGCCACTATCTTTTCTCAAATCAGTTAAGTTTGAAGGTCCCCAGGATCACCCTTGTTGTTATGTGCCATCCAGTCGGACCCGACTCATAGCGACCCCTTCTTGGTTTTCTGAGGCAGTATCACTACGGAAGTAGATTAGGTTTGTCAATTTTCTAGACAGACTCACAGAACACTGAAAGTTGTTAGTTATATTCATGGTGTGGTTTATTACAGTGAGAATACAAATTAAAATCAGCCAAGGGGAAATAATAGTTTATCACAATACTAGATCAGTGAAAAACTTTATTGTTTTCTTAACAGATCCTGTATTTGATTTTCTTTTTTAAATGATATTTATTACTGATGGAAATAGGAATGAGAAAGCACCCCTGTATATAGTAAAGTTTCTGTGACCCAAACTAACTTCATGGTGAACTGTCAAAGATGTATACACACACCTAGATTACATAAAAGAGATTTACTTTTATCACCATTTTTACCCTTGATATTTAACATAAGCTGGAGGTTTTTGCCATTGAAATAGACCAAGAAAAATGCAGTAGAACTGTAGCAAGGAACCATATAATAATTTAGAGGAAATTTAACTGTTTATTAGAAAACCCAAGAGAGTCAGTTCAAAAATGACTAGAACTTAGAAGATATTTAAATAACCAGTAACAGAATAAATGTATACTATCTGGAATTTTCCTGCATGGCTACAAAACTGGCTAGAAAACACAATGGTAGAAAATCTCTGGTTTATAATAATGACAAAAATACGAAACACCTGAGAGAAAACAAGTGGACAGGAACTAAATGGAGGAAACGCCACCTGCCTGAGAGATGAAGAGTCGGTGGTTTGGACAAGATGACTTCTCTGCATTTAACAAATGCCTCCTGTTGGCAGGCAATCTTCTAGGTGCCAGACATGGTGGTGGACACATCAAACACCCCAGCTTGCCTTCCAGTGAAGGGAGTGGGAAACATGCCAAAACAATAAAAATAGAGTAAGAACAGATTACAAATGCAGTGAAGAAAGAGAACAAGGAAAGAAGTCTCTGACGATTTGCAGCTTTAAGTAGGACAGGCAAGGATGGCCTTAGAGAACATAACATCTGAGTAGATAGATCCCTGAAACGTGAGAAAGGGGGCCATGTTTGTGTATCTAGAGGAAAGAACTTTTGGGATATAGGGAGCAATCACTGCAAAGGCTTCCAGGAGAAGCAGAGACCATTGTTATTAGAGCAGATTAAGCCAAGGGGAGAGGTTTAAGAAAAGAGATTAGAGGGAATGTGAAGCCCGGTTATATAGGACTGTGTGGGTCATTATCAGGGCCTTGGCTGCCACTTGGAATGATGTAGGAAAATGTTAGTTCTGACTCACAGTGACCCCTTGTGTTGCAGAGTAAAACTGCTTCATGAGTTTTTCAAGGCTGTGACCTTTTGGAAGCAGATTGCCAGGCCTATTTTCCAAGGTACTTCTGGGTGGGTTCCAGCCATCAACCTTTTGGTTACTAGCTCCACCCATAAGTAGAAATGTGACATGATATTTTTTCACAAGATCACTGTTCCTGCTCTTCTGGGGAAAAAAAAAAAAAAAAAAAACCTAAGGTGCCAAGGGAGGAAGCAAGAATAGTTAGGCACTTATTGTAGTCGTCCAGGCAAGAGATTGATTTAGTGATGGC